TGGATGCAGAATGCATTCGAAACGCGTCCGTCGGCCAACTCATCACTATCTACAACTTTTACCCGTTGTTTTAACAACGTTAAAATGGCTTATCGACTTCTTGAGAAGAATTCTAAGAAGAAAGTAAACCTACAGACATCGGTCTTGTTTAACAAAATCTGCCTACAAGAAAATCTGTCACCAAAGTACACCAACATATATATAAACAAATCATATCTCTCTAATTGATCGACTTTGGCATCCCTGCTTGTGACATTTCACCATTGTATATATATTTCTCCACAAGTATGACATTTTATTTCATAAACTGTGTTACAAATAATGCCATGATTATCAACACCAGCTTTGATTAAACAGTTTCTTTTTACACTTCTTTTAGGGACTTACGTTGATTGTTTGATTTTTCTTTAAGAGTATGGCTAGGTTGTGAACAATTCTGATTATTAGTCCAGATTTTTTTTAACCTTTTTTATTTCCATAGTACAGTTATTGTTGTTGTAAGGATTGGTAAATACAACTGTTGCTTTTTTTTAGATGGGTATTTGTTTTCTGTATATAATCTTATGGATATCCATTAGTACTTTAAGGACTAATTTAATGTGCTTATGGGCTTAAGTTCAAAACATATCATTGCTAATGTTTTAGTCAGTTTGTGTTAGATTGCCAGTTATTGTTCCACATTTTACTGTATTAGTGTGATTAGTCATAATCTAGAAAGAGAGAGAGGCTTCCTCATGAGTATGTGGTAGAAAGCAGTGGTTATTGATTGGTGGTTCATGTTTATAGTGACAGCCAAAACAATGATTTTGTTCTCATTATTTAAATAGTTAATAGTAGATTTGGTTTAAGAGTGGATGTTATTTAGGAATGTGTGAAAGTGTTTTCTGTTTTCAAGGTGATAGTTCCATATACTAAATACATTTATATATCATTGTTAGATTTAAGGTTTTGAGTGGATTTTTATGAACCAACAATTTATGGCATCCTGATCAAACATGTTCTTAGAAAAACATAAAGGTTATGGCTAATATCTTACTTGTAGTTACTCTTAGGAGTTGTTGGTAAAACTCTTTTTAAATAAAAGAAACTATTAAAAGGAAAATGTAGCTAGGTTTTGATAGTGTTCATGCTTAACCCCAAAGTGTGACGTTAGTTTTCACGTGCTGAAATAAAGTCAGAATGAGGGGGTATAATGTCAAAATATTTAATAATTTGACCCCCTAACATTAAGGTTCTCTATTTATTCCTGTATAGTTCTTCTCTGTTTTTCAGATGTGCTGGTACAAGTTTTAACAAAGGTTTTGAATTTTGTTGTAATGTTCAAAATAAGATTTTGGAGACGGATTAAAATGCTGATATGATGGGTATTAGTGGCTGCCTAATTTCTGGTTTGTGAATAAACCATACAGCTCAGGTGTGCAGTTTTGGAAGGTCTTAGATAAAGCTGAGCGATTAGTCGAATTTAATAATCTGCTAATTAGTTGTTGGGCTAATAATCTGATTATTCTCATATAAGACTAATAGTCCTCTTTTCAGCTGGTTCTGATTCTTTTTAACGAACTCTTTTGACATATTCTCTATTTAATATGATAGAAATTTCAGGTACAAAAATCTAGGATTAAGTTACTTTTTTAAGCCTAAACTGTTATGCTTGAAAATGGATCATATACACAACAAAGTATGAAATATATAACAAGCTGAAAATACAATTGGTTTTATTCATTAGGTTTTCCCTATAAATTTTCACAAGACTACTAAATCTAAATGAATTAATATGTCATTAAAAGTAATTGTTGTAAGATTTAATATGAAAAAATTAGTAAAGATTTCAGCCAAAGTGTGTGATAAATAATGCATATTTTAGAGAAAATAAATTTGTTATCATCTTAGAAATACAAAGACAGTACAACATTTGCTATTTGGCAAGAAAGCTTGTTATGACACTTGATAACATCTTTGTACAGATTAAAATGATTCATAGGGTGGAAATTGAAGTGCTAAGAGATTTTAAAACCATGGTAATTAGAATAAAAAAGCGTATATACAAGCACTTTGAAATGTTTTTCTAATTCTATCATCTGCATGAAAAACTTAAAAAATAGTGAACAGCTTTATAAGTATGGAGAGTGTCATAAACTTAAAGCAAGAAGTTGGTGATATGAATAGAATTTCAAAACATACCTAAGCTGACACTATAGCTATTTCTTGATCTCAAGGGTTCCACTCTCTGCCCATCTAAGCATTGAAAACGCTTGTTACAGTCTTTTATACCCCACTTAAATGCCCTTGACAAATTCTAATTTGCAAATTTCTCCACCAACTTCAATGCACCCTCTATTTAGGTACTGTATATAAGCACCTTATTCAGATAATGTTATCACTTTTTCTCAACAAAGCATTGGGCAAGGGTTTCTATAAACAGGAGTGTTGTGATTATTCACAATTTACATATATTTATAAATTACTTTCGAGAAAAAAAAATGTACCAATGGGTATGAATTCCCAATTTAATGTTTCTGTTATGGAGGACATTCAGACCTCTCCTCTTCCACCTCTGTTGTCTGGTATTTATCAATGGCAAGGGAGAGTTCACTCTCAGTTGAGGCTGTCTCTCCAGGGAGTTCTGAGGCGGCTTTTGCAAATGACACGAACCAGCTGCGAAGAATTTAGACTCGCTTTTTCTGGCTCCTTCTTTTACTAGGTCAGCCTCAACAGATGATAATTTTGATCAGCCACCTCCAGCCCCTATTCTTCAGTTGATTACTTAGGATTGTGAGGTTTTGGTGGTCTCTCCTCTTGTATTTGCCTCTAATCCTTCCTTGTTGGCAGCAAGGATGGCAAGTGACTACTTGGTTTCCCTCCTTCTCCTGATATTGCTGTTCATACTGAGAGATTTGCCACTCAGTTATGCAATGGGATAGCTGTGCCTTGTCCCCATGTTTATCGGAACAGCATGCTTTGGCTTATCACCACTAGGAGGAGATTTATTTAGATTCTCAATGAATGGATCCCCTTTTGGACCTGTGGGGGTATCGATTGGAACCT